GCCCAGAAATTTCAAACCCACAAGTTGAAGCCGACGGACAGCAGAGGGAGTAAGACGCAGATCTGGGATTTTCTGGGTTCAACAGGTGTTCTAAGACAAGAAAATAGGGAGAAATCCCCAAGCTTTGCCGGAAATGGGTGGCGGTGACGGGGTGGGCTCGTCGCGTGCAGAGGGTCGGGGGAGAAGAAGAGCAGGGCACGCGGGTCTGATGAGGAAGGAAAGAAAGAAGAAAAAGAAAGAAAAAAAAAAAGGAAAAGAAAAAGCAATTCATCCTTATCCTAATTTCCTTTCTTTTTAGCCCCTCAACTTTTAAAAATTTGACTATTAAGCCTCAAAACAATATTTTTCCTCAAATAAGTCCCCAATTAAATGCTAAAATACCCCAAAATTTTGGGATATTACATAAAGACTAGCACAATTACATTTGAAACATTTCTCTGTGTTTGAAATTTGGTTCATGAATTATGTCCTTTTGGCAATATCATCTCAGGTGAACAACTTGATTTGTGCTTGAAAGATTCTCAGATTTTGCACAACTTGGAAGGTTTACTCTTCGAACTGAAGGTAAGTGACTGCATTTTCATTATTCATGAATTACCCTGGGCATGCAGTGTGTAATTTGGATTACTGTGTCTACAGGAAAAACAGTTGCAGTGGGAAAAGTCATGGACATTCCTTCAAGTGCCAGTGCATAAAATGGTTTTGTTGTTAGAGGTGAGAAATTAAATTTATAGTTTTTTTTTTTGAAAAATACAATCTCTAATGGGATGCGTAATGAATGGCTAATTCACTCACCGGACTCTCCTTATGAATGGGTGTTAGGTTGCAACACAGAATCGTCCTAAATGAAGTTGCCGCGTTAACAATATATTGATGTCTTGAGGAGAGGTGAGGTGCCGATGCCACAGGTGCTTGGCATTGGTACTTTTGATATACTTATGGGTATGTAATGTTTAACTTATACACCTATTGGCATTTTTGGAACACATGATTGTAATGCATGGTTTTCACATCAGTCAGTTGGAAAATATTTAGTTTTGGTTTGGGCATTGTTTGCCATGAAAGCATTTAGTTTGTCATTTAGGTTTTGATACAATATTTATGAGTGTAAAAACTTATTTGCTGCCCTTTCATCGTCTGGCATCCTGGTAACAAATTAAACTGGCCGATAGAATACAAAGTGATAGCCTTGCTGTTATTTTGCATTATTTGGTAAGAGTATATTTAGCCATCTAATCACAACTTGATAACTCAAGGGTTAGAATTACTAATAAGCAAATGCCGTTTTAGTTAGGGTTCAATTGTTGAGGTTAATATTTAAAAAATTAATTTCTTTAAATGCACCAAATTAATGTAAAGTGCACATTTAAGATGGTCAAAAAAGAGATTAGCCTTTAATTACGAATTGTTTTGAAGGTACTCTAATAGTAAATACCAAAAATAATCTGCAACCTAGTTTGCCTGTCTAGTAACATCAAGAAGGAAAATTGGCAGAAAGCATCGAGATGGAGTGAACCACTGGCTCAATTTGCCAAGGACGAGGTATGCTCTCTATTAATCACATGGATTAGCATTCCTGTTATTAGATGAACTTCCTTTTGTAAATATGTTGGCAGCTTGGACAACTTTTAATAGATGAAAATTATTAGGCGAATTAGGGTCATAAAGATGCTAATTTAGCTTCAATGTGCCATTAACAATATGGTTATGGTGAAAAATAAAAATAAAAATATTTTTAAAAAAAATTAAAAAAATAACAATTAATTTGTAATAAATTTTAAGTTAAAAAAATAAGTTTTAGGAAACCGAGGGAGTATGTGATTTTTCATAAATACCCGTACCATTTTGCATGGAATACAAAGTTTGAACTTAGTGGACATTTTTGTAATTTAATGCATTTTTCACTATTGCAGAATCTATTTTTCCATTTCCACCAACTTTTGTCGCAACTTAGTCATGAAATGAAAAATGTCAATCGAAAGTAAATATTCACAGGAGAAAATTCTAATCACGAACTTCTAAAGGGTTTCATAACCTCATCCAAAAAAAAAAAAGGAAAAAGTTTCCTAGTATTTAATTTAATAAAATAATTTTTCTTCAGATACA